ATGCCTATCAAAAACAATTAATTTGTTGATATTTGGCAAATAGTACATTGGATTGTTGTAAGTCCTTGTCGCCAAGGACGGTACCCTTTTTATGCCCAGAATATCATTTTTGTTCAGTAAAATCCACCCACTCATGTGTTTATAAAACAGACATTCGTTGCTGTAAATATCACAAATTTCAGTGAATATTTCTTTGGGATTCTTAACAAGGTTTACAACAGCTTTAATGAAGCGTTTAATTTCAGTCTAGTTTGCCGATTCTTTACCATTCATTTTTAAAGCAGTGTCTCGAATAGCTCTTGTTTACCAGCTTTTCACAATGAAACCATGTGATGAAAAGTGGTCACAAAAATGTTATTAATTCATTAAAGATTCAATCATGATAGAAAGTCGAGCTTAATGTCACAGGAGTTGTATGTCATAGAGCTCATTACATTTTTATTGAACAGCCCTAGTAAAATATTGAATAATCTTCTCCTTAGAAATGGAGCTTTGGCTTTAAGTTAGATTACCACTTGAAGAATTAAATCCAAGCTCCTCTAAAATACTGTGCCTTACAAAAAGGACAATGTGTCCTGCTTTGTCAGCTTGGGCCAGTAAATACTGATCGTGTAGTCTATAATATTTTTTACTTCTGAATTATTAAAAACAGAAGGATAGATGATTTTCATATAGCCCCTCAATCGCTTATTGCTAGATTTGACATTGAACAATACAAACTTGTAAACAGGGCAAAAACTCTCCCCGACATTTTAGAGATGGAATCAGTTGTAAAGGACGAGTAAGCATGCCCGTCGTACGTAATAGGTATCCATCTGTTAGACAAAAATATTCCTCTGTTAAATTGAGTACAAACACCGAGGCATAACAAATTGTACGAAACACATCAGCCAAAATATTATCCTCATAATTACATATTATGGCGGTCGCTGTTGTGGCTTTAATTTTAAATTGACTGCAGAAATAGTCAAAATGTGGATGGTATTAAGGACTTTTAACTATTGTTAATTGATAAAACGTCAATACAATTGAAGTTAAAGACCATAGAAAGTATTTTCCTCTTCTCACGTAGAAGTTTCTGAAAATATTCTGGTTTATAGGAATATAAAAACGGATCAGCAAAGAAAGGAAAAAAGTGATTTTCTTCAAAAAAAAAAAAAAAGAAACAAACAAACAAACAATCAATATATAAAAAAATATCCGACTCTCAATTTTATTGAAGAAGCATATGGTAATTAGATCAGAAAGCATCGTTTACATTGGTTGTGAATGGCTGTACAAAAAGACAAAGGTACATTTTTCACAATATAGATGGTCATTAAAAAGGAAGGTATTTTGAATTTCAATTCCTTCTCTCAAATCATATCACAATATCTCCGAATGATACACGTATCTAGTCTCATAGTGATTTGTGTCCTTTGTGTTGTTCTTATTCCTTGTATTGAATAATATGTGTTTATTCAAATACATTATATGTATGTTCTCTTATAATCTTCTCTTCATGAAAATATTTTTGTCAAAGATTTACAACATTTGTTAGCTAAATATACATATAGTCTTTTAATGCTCAGAGCTTTACCTTGAATAAAAGAGTAACTCAACAAAAGTTCATTTTTTAAATAAAAATATCCTTAGTACAATGCTTAGTATATATTAATAATAGATAATATCAAATTTCCAACTATATACACGAAAACGTCAAATCAAGACTTCTTCTATCTAAAAGAAACTAAGATTTTTTTTTCATTTTTGTATATACAAAATATATCAGAAAATAAAAATCATTGAACGTCCAAAATATCATAATTGCTAAGAATCAGCACTATTTCATATATACACGTGTCCTCTACAAAAAAACTAAATATTTCAATTACAAATATATATGACATTTTTGTAGATGATGTTTTCTGCATAAGACTTATTTTTCAGTCTGCATCCTTTTGTGAAATATAATTCATTGAAACATGTATATCACTTGTACAATATATACAACCACACAGTCCTGTTTTGGCGCACGTCTACACATTCAATATTCCGTCTCTTCATACAGAGCATCGGAAGGAATCCTTCTTCCAGTTTCTAGATTGGTGTATTGACCCTGGCAAGAAGAGGGCTTTGATTCTGACCTGTAAGTTATTTTTTAAAATTAATTTAAATACAAATTTTTCTGCTTGAAATGAATTAATTAATTTTAAAGAAAAAAATTATTTACCTCTGGAAACTTTGCATTTTTTCTGAAAGAATTATTTAAAGTATTGTTATTTCTGGATTTGACTTCGGACATCCTTATAGAAAAATTACTTAGACCATAATCTTACTTTTGAGAGATTTCCATGCAATACAGAGGAGAACACCAATACCAATAGTAGCTACCACGGAGACCAGCACACTGGGGCCAATAAAGTACAGCAAAATAGTATCTGGAAATGAAGGCAACAAAAGGGTAATAAATAATAGGTAATCAAATCATTTCAAATGAAACATTTTTGGACGTTCAGCTTAACATTTCTATAATGTAACAATGAAAATTTCGGAGCATTGCCGGAGTCACATTTTTTGTCTGAAAAACCGTCCTCCATCTTAAAAATGACGAGCTGGAGTAAGGAAAATTAAACAGAAAGTCAGTTAAAGAAAAAAAATGCGATAACCTTGTGTTTCATAGCAACAAACTAGAGGTACTGTGAGCAATGAGCTCACTAAATGATACGCCCCGCCTCCCATAATTATGGTGTCCCGATAGGGCCGTTGCAAAAGTGTATTAGCGCGTTAGAAACAACACGCAAGCGCGTTAATGACAACGCGCAAACGCGTTGATAGAAACAACGCGCAAGCGCATCAATGACAATACGCTAGCACGTTAATGTCAACGCGCTAGCACGTTAATGACAACGCGCAAGCGCGTTAATGACAACGAGTTGTGTGTTAGCGCGAAGTCGTGTTGTGAACAACGCGCTAGCGCGTTAATGTCAACGCGAATGCGCGTTAATGTCGACGCGAATGTGCATTAATATCAACGCGAATGCGCGTTGATGACAACGAGTTGTGTGTTAGCGCGAAGTCGTGTTGTGAACAACGCACTAGCGCGTTGAAATTAATACAACAATACAACAATACATGAATGCAACAATACAAGAATACAACAATACAAGAATGCAACAATACAAGAATGCAACAATACAAGAATAAAACAATACAAGAATGCAACAATAAAAGAAACAATTGTGGAGTATTGTCAATACGCTAGCGCGTTAATGACAATGCGCTAGCGCGTTGTTCACAACACGACGTCGCGCTTACACACAACTCGTCATTAACGCGCTAGCGCGTTGTCATTATCGCGCTTGTGCGTTGTCATTAACGCGCTTACGTGTTGTTTCTAACGCGCTAATACACTTTTGCCATGGCCCTATCGGGGCACCATACATAAAGTCCATGTGTTGCTATATATTGTTTTACGGTAATGTGTAAAGAGGAATAACTCGACCTATCAAATGTTATCCAGAAGCTTCGATATGTGACGTCATAGGTAAACATATAATGGCAATGTCCATGTTTTGCTGTGGGAAACCAAAAATACGTGTCGAATAAAAAAGTAAAATAGGAGGTGCACAATGGCAATATGTAATAAAGATTCTGTGAAAGTTACATTAAATTTCACTCAGTAGTATGAGGAGTTGCGGATAAGAGATAAAGCGTAACAGACGGACGGACGGACGTACAGACGGACGGACGGAAATCCCGATTACTATATACCCTCCCACTTTTCAAGCGGGGGTATAAAATGATTACGACAAAATCCAATTTGAAAGGTTATTGACAAGTACATGAGTACCTGTTTTATCTCCGCCTTTCAGTGCATCTTCTGTAAATTTGAATTTCTTTGTAAAATAAATCCGAGAGAAGTCTTTGCAATCAAAATTTACAGCCCCTGAAAATAAAAATAGCGTTTTTGCATGAAGATGGGCAGCTTAGAAGTTTATTATGTTCAACGTTGCTGTCTAAAGACATCTTAATATGTACTTGTAGTCTTGAAAATAACTTTTTTGCTAAAGCTTTTGTATCATTCATTTGTTTAATCATAAAGAATGGAAAGGCATGGGAATAAGAAAAAAACCTGAAATTTATACGAATTACATATATTTATTCATTATTTATACATATAATATCGAGCTCACAAAATGATTATAGTCCATGTTTTTTTCTGGGAGACCCAAAATAAGTTTAAGATAAAAAAGTAAAATAGGAGGTTCACAATGGCATTATGTAATAAAGAATTCAAGAATCTGTGAAAGTATCATAAAATTTTATTCAGTGATATAGGAACAGTTGCAGATGAGAGATGGGTACCCTTCAAAATTATAGAAAGGATGGCAGTGTCCATGCTTTGCAATAGGAAACCCGAATTATGTGTCAGATCAAAAAGCGAAATAGGAGGTGCACAATGGCAATATGTAATAAAGATTCTGTGAAAGTGGTATAAGAGGAGTTGAAGATAAGAGATGGGTACCCCAAATTTAAGCGTAACAGACGGACGGACGGAAAGATGGCAACATTCTTCATTTACAACTTTCATTAATTCTTAATGTAATCTTTGTATTTCTCACAAAATAACAAAAAGGCAAGTCATCAGCAACAGCATTTGAACTACAGTCTTTACAAATTCATAGATATTGTGGAAGTTTCTTATATCGACCCATTTCGATGGTTAGTATATGACACGAGATTCTAAATCTAGTTAACCTTTTTCGGTAATCAACATTATTAATTAATCAAAGACAAATAAACTTCCATCAAAAAAATTAGTTTGTTTTAAAACTATATACTATGGTAATAGTGGATTTAAGATGGCCATTGGGTATAATTTAGAAAATTGACAAAGGAAATCTTGATTGGAATATTACATAATAAAAATTATACCTAAGATATAGTAAAGAAAAGTTATTTTCGTGAAGAAACAAGTTATTAATAACGTTTGCATTCATGACTTTTCTGTTTTCCCAATTTGCAAAGTTTACTGTTTTGAGAGAATCCAGTTTCATCGACAGACAGATATAATGGATTTCTTATATACAAAGGCGAAAAAAGTAAAAAAAAAATACCTCGTGCTTCAAACCAAAAGAAGGATTTGAATTTAGACATAGGCGTTGTTTCTATCTCCAATGCCTTTGAATTGTACTCCGAGTTGTTCAAATATGAAAAGAATGTTCCACTGCTTACAATAATATCACTAATGTATTTCCATCTATGTGAATATATGTGACTTTCGTACTCTGAAAAAAGAATACTTTGTAAGAAAAGTTTTTTTGAAAAAAAAAACAACTTTAAAACAATACATGAAGGAGATTTAGAATTCAGCTTAATCATTTCAAGACTGGAAATCCATCTTATGCCCACAATTTATATAAGTAATATTCTTAATCACAAAAGGATCCAATCTTGTATTCCACCATATTTCAAGTTGAAGACAGAGACTACACCAAGTATTTGCTACAAATATACATCGACTATTGCTTCCAAACCTTTTAATTACAAGGAAACCTTATTGAGCCTAGATATATGGAATATCTGAAAGCTTCCTGTTCATATTCTTCTTCATCCTTCATATACTAGTAAAGTCCTGCTGGACACGTTACTAGTATTACTGATGACGTTAATGTAGTGAATAATGAGGACCTTCAATCATTAATTTCAAAAAGGCCAAAATTTAGGGAACCCCGATCCGATCTTTTACCCCCCCCCCCCCCCCCCCGCCTCCCATATGAATATACATGTAATGGCAGTGTCCATGTTTTGCTGTGGGAAACCCAAAATATTTTTCGGATCAAAAAGTGAAATAAGAGGTGCACAATTGCAATATGTAATAAGATTCTGTGAAAGTTTCATCAAATGTCATTCAGTTATATGAGAGGAATTGCGGATAAGAGATAGGTACCCCAAAGCGTAACAGACGGACGGACATACCGATTTCTATATACCCTCCCGCTTTTCAAGCCGGGGATATAAAAAAGAATTAGATAGTTTACATGGTCAGTATGTACTGGTCCCTGCTTACAAAGCAGGTAATAACATTATCTTGGTTTGTAATGCTAATTATTTAAATTGTATTTTACAGGAACTGATATTTCATTCAACTAGTGGTAATCTAACTTATACACGTAGCTCACGTTCTAAGGAGGAAATTCTTAATCGAATGTCAGTTTTGAATATTTTTGATATTCCAAACAACCAATTCAAATGAAGAGCTGTACAAAAAGACTAACACCACCCCTCTGTCTCAGGTATTAAGAAAAGAAAATGGCTGTGGATAGGACATATATGTAGGTGCACCCAACTTCCATCCCAAAGGTTGCATTGAGATGGACACCATCTGGCAAGAGAAAAAAGGAAGACCAAAAGAAACATTGAGAAGATCTGTGGAGAAAGAGATGGGGAAAAACAGCTGGACACGGGAAAAAATCCAGGGATGGACACAGGACAGGCCAGCATGTAAGTCTCTGGTGATGGCCCTGTGTGCTATCCAGCACGAAGAGGATTAAGTAAGTAAGTAAACAACCAAGAGGAATTTGAATTACCATATCTATATTGGATTACAAAACTTCATAAAAATCCGTACAAACAAAAGATAAATAACGGGTTCCGGTAATTGTTCATCCAAGCCCCTTTCTTATTTCTTTATTCCTCACTAAACTAGAGGTACTGTGAGCAATGAGCTCACTAAATGATACCCCCGCCTCCCATATGGTTATAATGGCAAAGTCCATGTTTTGCTGTGGCCGGGAAAGCCATAATATGTGTCGGATCAAAAAGTAAAATAGAGGTGCACAATGGCAATATGTAATAAAGATTCTGTAAAAGTTTCATTAAATTTCACGCAGTGGTATAAGAGATATTACGGATAAGAAATGGGTACCACAAAGCGTAACAGACAGACAGACGGACATACAGCTGTCTGTTTGTCCGTCCGTCTGTTACGCTTTGGAGTACCTATTTCTTATCCGCAACTCCTCTCATATAACTGAATGAAATTTGATGAAACAGAATCTTTATTACATATTGCCATTGTACACCTCCTATTTTACTTTTTATCCAACACATATTTTAGGTTTCCCATTGCAAAAGATGGACACTGCCATTATATTCATATAGGAGGCGGGGGTATCATTTAGTGGGCTCATCGCTCGCAGTACCTCTAGTTTATACATATATTAAGCCATTCTTTTATCATATTGTCGACGGAAATTTCCGATATTTCCCGATCAAGGAGCACACAGTTGGTGTGATCGGTCGGCAGGGGATGCTTACTCCTCCATGGCACTTTATACTACCTTGTTTTGAATGTCTGTGTTTGCTCTGCTCAAATTTTGTTTTATTTGATGGACTTTTGATTTTGAATACTGTTCTTTATCTTCATATGTATCATTTCAAAAGATGAAAGTCTTTAAATGTTTAACAAACATTACAATCAACGAAGATAAATTGTTCAGGAATGAGGGTATCATCTTAAAATAATAATCGGGATAAATACAACATGTACAAGTTGACCATGTAATGAAATCCTAGAAGGCCTAAATGATTTATAGTAAAATTGATAACATGCCACCTGTATTTATATTCCGAAAAAAATTATACACTATACCTTATTATTTAAATTTTTTACGACTGATTTGTTAGAAAGAGTTGGGATTTTTTCAGATATTTGAATAAGTCTTTCCTGTTTTTGCTGAAGTTTCAAGGAAATTGTGTTACCGTTTATAAGTGAGCCGTTGATATGTCTGATCCTTAATATCATATCTTCAGAGGCTTTGATTGTAATCGATGCAATATCTCCAAATAGGAAACACCGACACAGGGAATTACTCAGGGTCCGGTAAAACTGAATAGAAGTCGATGTTGTAATGGATGCTCCATCAGAACACATATCCACGAGTTTTCCATCTGAAAAGAATAACTATCGCTATGGTGTAAGTTTAGTTTGAATTGCAAACACGTACTTCACTTACCCTCACACAAATCTTCACACAGACACACACACACACACCCTCTCCTTCCCTCACCCCTCACACACAAATGTCGCTCAAGTTCCTAATTGCCTAATAGAAATCTCTCTCTCTCTCTCTCTCTCTCTCTCTCTCTCTCTCTCTGTATATATATATATATTATACAGTTATTGACTGGGTATGAGGGCAACATATGATTTGTTAGACCTGAAGGTGAAAATGTTGCCCGAGGCCGCAGGCCAAGGGCAACATTTTCACCTTCAGGTCCAACAAATCATATGTTGCCCGAATCCTAGTCTATAACTGTTTTGTTATACGCTTCACTGCTCACTTAAGATTGATCAATTTAATCAATACACGCTATATTATCAATTATTTTATATGGGAAATTATGGCTTCTTCAGTAAATATAAAACATCAAAAAGAAATATCAAAATCAATAATATATCTATTGGATCACAAAAATTATTTATCACAAACATACTCTTCCCTGCTTCCTTACCTTGCTGTTAGCAACAATTCTTGTAGCTCTTAACTTCGGCTATTTTCGCATCGCCGATGATGAACAATAATAAATTACTTGTGACGTAACAGACGAGTGACGTTGCGGTCTAACAATTTTTATGTAAGACCGGTCAATAGTGAAATTGTTAGACTGATGTAATAAACAGTTCTTTTGTTGGACTTTTTATAAGTAATAAATATATGGAATGATATTTATAAGGGTATAACAAATATATATATATATATATATATAGAATTCCATCGGCATCGAAAGCAAGTTTTTTAACTTGCCTAGATAGCCGAGCGGTCTAACGCGCTGTTCCTATACTGCTAGGAGACAGATTCCGTAGGTCGAGAGTTCAACCCCGAAAAGAAAAAAAAAAAGAGTATGATTTCTTACCGTTTCTTTTCTTTTTCTTTTGTTTTTTCATACACGGATTCTCGCCGGAATTGCAAAATAAAAGTGACCTTGTATTCCCTTCTGGAAGAGGCAGACCCCCCCCCCCCTTGTTGAAATCGCAGATCTCTGATAAGTTTGTCTAAAAAGTCGTACCTATGAAGATACTTTAGAAGTCAAGGACTAACACCAATCTCAACCTTACCCCCCCCCCCCCCCATTCCCCGAAATATGTTTTTATGTTTTGTTTATATTTTTTCTTTAGAAAATTCAGCAAGGCAAGTCAACGATAACTTCGCATGAATGAATTTCTGCCAAATATTGTAACGGGTATAAATACATGTATTAATGCATTTAGTGTATATTTTGAAATTTTTTTTAGTTAAGTTTACATAGAGGCAGCGATTAACTAAAATAATTCTTAACTTGATTTTATTTTATGCTTATACGTATAAGGATAGAAAAAAAAAACGTACAAGGAATTTTTAGAGGAGTAAATGGGACAATAATCTAAACATCAACAGGCATGCAGATTTTTATTTTTCATAGCCTTGCAATATATATAACATTAATTCTACTGAATGAACATGGAAAGCAACGTAGCGAATAAAATATGTACGTGTAACTAACAACGTCTGTCGTTACTTACACAGGCAATTGGGGTATGGACCCCCCCCCCCCTTTCCGTTTTTCTGGGGGTTTTCCTATTTTAGATTTTTAATACGTATTGCATGTTATTAGTAATGTTACCCTTTTCTCTCTTTACGCTGTTTTTAGATACATGTATTTCGTTTTCGACTGATACATAAAAAGAGATGGCTTGCAATTTGTTTTTATTCTCGTCGTCTGCCTCACTTAATCTGCACTTGATCACTATCTAAAGCGTAGGGAATCATGGAATATGCAGTCATCAATAAATTTGAAACACATTCTTCTTCCTTTTAGGATTTCCATTTAATTTTTTATGTGCCTCCGATTAGTTAATATTTCAATTAAATCAACCGCATAATGGCGCATATAGGATGAAGTTAAAATACAAAAATAGGAAAAAGTTTACTCATCCCCGGCTTTAGCAAGGGAAAAAAGGAAAGGAGGGAGGGGGTAATATCCTACGTGCCTTTGGTCATTTACAAGAGGTCAATGCTGTTCAAAAAATGTATCAGTTTATGTTTCATTAATTAATACCTTAGCAGTTTTTAATTTGTGACCAACCTGTATATATATTTTTCAATTACTCTTTTTAAAAATAAAGGTTAATTTTTTAATGTACCGGTGCATTTGCGATGTTTAATATAATGATTTCTACTTTTAATTTGAATAGGGCAAAGAATTTAATTGATCCCGAATTCGATTGGCTAAAAATCTGTATCTAAAATTACTTGGGAAAAACTTCATAGTGTTTTTATGGAAAATAAGACTTGAGCAAATTTTATTCATAATTGAGTTCGACTTTCCATCGGCAAGCAGAGTTTTGACGCTGTTTACGGAGATAAAAGAAAACAAACACATGCATGCCCTATATGGTTGTGTAGATAAATTATCGTAATAAACAGTTTGTTAGTGCATTTCCTCTGAAAGTGTAAATGAGGGCGTTTCTGAGGAGGGGGTGTTGAGTGTAATTCGGAGTTAGATACCCTGTGTTATAATTATACTAAGGGTTAAAATTTATTTCCGAAAGAAGTGCATGTGCTCTCAGAATAGACCCGAGAAGATACGATTGATAACACATAATGAAACGCTTTCTAATATTCTCAGTGTTGGTCATTCGAATAGAAATAAGCCTTCATTGCTTTTTACACTTTCAGCATGTTCTATTAATACTGTTACACAAAACTACCAATTTCAACAAAATGTATTACTAGATAATTTAATTCTGGTTGTAACGCTGTATTTGATTGGATAAAAAATTTACTTCATATCGTATAAAATGGGTTGCCTACGTCACAATGACTTTCGTCAAAAGCGTATCAATCCGCCTGACGTTGCATTCAAATTTTGTACAAATTGAAGTCATTTTATTAGAACAATCATCTTTTTTTTTCTTACATCAAATGAGTGAAAATTAAATTATAAGCAATGAATTTAATAGCTACCCATTTTATACGGTATAAACTGGGTTGGAACAGTTTACGCTTTTTTATAAACCGCTTCGCGGTTTATAAAGCGTAAAATGCCCCAACCCAGTTTATACCGTATAAAATGGGTAGCTATTAAATTCATTCCTTAAATAATGTACCGTTTTCCATTTGACGTCATAATCAGATGTGCACAAGAAAGTCGCCCAAATCATATAAATTGCGTACCCCTTTTTAATGACGTCAGCAAACCCGCGACCTACGTTAAAACAAAACAGTGTGCACTATATTTTTTGACTTTTTGACGTCAAGAGCGGCATTATGACGTAACAATGGAGATATTCATGCTTATTCGTGATACATACCTATAAATGTAGTTCATGAGAAAATAAACTGCATTTTATTTTGTAAAGAATCATAGGGGAAATTTATTGGAAATAAGATTGGGAATTGAAGTGGATCGGTCACGTGATCCAATCCTGTGAAGGCCGAAGGCCTTCTCTGAAGATTTGATCACGTACCGACCCACTTCAATTCCCACTGAAGTTTATAAACTTGTTATTTATTACTTATATATACATTTCAGACTGACAATTAAATATTAATTTAGATAATATTCTAAAATAAATATTGCACTAACCGGTCGCCGTAGATTTCCGTCAAAAGTACGCAAGGAGTAAACCGGCTTGAAAGGCGGTTACGCTTTGAATTTGTCAGGCTAAGAATTCTATTTTGGAAGGGAATATTTTGTTAAAGGCTACAATTGATCAGTAATAGTGAACAGATTCTTGTTTGGAAATATTTCTTTTTGTGAAAATTGATAATTATGCTGAAAAGACACAAGAAACACGTCCGAAGATTGATGACAAAAGTTGGAGGAATTTCGGTCGCCTAAAAGGGATGGATGGATCCGATGGATAGAGACAATTGTGCGAGCCAGTCAATTTGCAATCAAGTTAAATTTGATCAAAAACACTCAACCTACGATTTCAGTAACTAAAGGCATATTTATGATGTTAACTCGGCGACATTGGCGACAGCTTACATTCAAGTACGACAGCACTGATCGAGGTGTTTCTTAGCTGTTCGTGGCGTGATTGCAATGCTTTGATAATTTCCAATAGATTTGCATATTTATCGTGAGTAGAATTTAATGAAAAAAATATAGTTTTAGCCTATTGCCTATCATGAAGATTTAACTTAAAGTCTTCCAAAAATAAGGACAAACGTTAGAGACTGTGCAGCGGACAAAAGTGACATGTAAACAAAGTATAGTTTCTATCGGTATATTCTCTATGTACACAGTTTAAATCCATCGTCAAAAATGTATGAAGTACTTGTTTACGTTGTAAATAAAACAATTAATTTACTTGTTTATTTATGAAAAGCAAGTCATTTTATGTTTATAAGTAACGGTTGATAGTATTCCGCCGTGTGATTCGGCCATGTATTGACCTCTGACCTCTGACAAACTTCATACAGAATTGAAGATATTTTCTCTCTGTATGTTTATATAATGGAAAGATACCACAAATGTATATCTTATACTTTGAAGTGTTTGTATCTATAGCAATATGTCAAAACTCCTGATGGTACAATTGAAACCGGTAGAGTTTTAATCGGCGTTCTGTTATTTTTTACTATATATATATATATATATATATATATATATATATATATATATATATATATATATATATATATATATATATATTAAAATAAAATAAAAAGGCAACACTTGTTAAAACGTTAGCGCTTTCATTGTTTTCTTCACACGTTTTAAACAATTTTAAACTTGTGACGTAATAACGTTACCACCAGGTAACGTTATTACGTCACAAGTTTAAAATTGTTTAAAACAATGAAAGCGCTTACGTTTTAACAAGTGTTGCCTTTTTATTTTATTTTAATATTGATTACCGGACACTGAGATATTTATTTTATTTCTTTTGGAGATATATATATATATATATATATATATATATATATATATATATATATATATATATATATATATATATATATCAGCATAAGATGTAAGGCTGAAAAGGTTGAAAATGTGTACTAATCATACTTAAATTGATATTATACCTCTTGAACACTCATAATTAAGGCACAACTTCAAAAAACTTGTGCACGTATTGAAATAGTATTTTGCTTGTCTGTAGAACGATGTCTTTGAGAGATGACACACGTTTTTAATCTTATTACACTCTTTCAATGTATCATTTCCTTCCTTCCAAAGTCTGTATCTAAGATCCCAACGGCCCACATATCCATCTGGACAGATGTCTCCTTTCTGCTCGGATCCATCCTTCGTCCTCACCGTGTATCCTGTTACAGTAAGTAGAAAATTCACTGGACACGTCAGTACTGCATTTGTTTGTGTCGAAATTTCCGACTTCTTGACGCACATTTCATAGTGATTTCCAGAAACTTTAAATAAGCATAACCAAATTTTAGTTAGGTCAAAGAATTTAAATAAATATTTGTATTCTCATTACAAAATCCAAATGTATACTAGAGATTCTATCTTAAAAGATTCTATTTCATCGTATTCGTAAATATACGAAAAATGATATCTGTAGATTACACAGATGTTAAAAATTGTTTGATTGTCATTAAACTGCTTAAAATGCACTTATTAGTATATATGTCAAAATTATTACCCGCTCTAAGAATCGATACCATGCAAACGCAATGCCATAAATTGTACATTTTTTTCTTTCCTAACACATTACTATGAACATAATATCCTCCCAACGTTTTATATAATTATTCACATTATCACGTGACTTACCGTAAAACAATGTTTAAATAAAATATTTTTAATTAAAATAAATAATTCCGAACAACGCTTTTAAAACGATGTGGGAAGCCTTACTTAGAATGTGTGAAATATTTTTTTACTTCTTTGAAAAAAAAAAACCAATCAACAACCTTTATGACAGTATTACATTATAGCATATTGAAGCGGAACTAGATGTGAACCTCATTTGTATCTAATCCACAGGTTTTTCCGGAGTAATTTAATTTCCATTTACTAGTATTTTTTTTAACTGTCAAGGTATAAATGTAAGTTCTTACAGAAGTTTCAGTGTGAAAATGGAAGATGGAGTGTTAAGAGAAGTAGTCTGGTTAACGGAAGGGATATAAATTATATTAGTTATCTCTATGAAACATATTCAAGTATTATTGGTGAATTCATGCTTATTGTTTTCATTGTTTGTTTGTTTTTTTGCTGTGGTCTTCAACTTGACATTTAGATATATCATTGACGTTTTATCAATCAACAAACTTACTATGTCGACTCGATATATCCCAGTGAACTTGAAATAAAAAAATATATCACAGAGTTTGACACATCTTTTATAAAGTTTGGATATCATACTAGGAAAAAAACCTGTTAATGCTAGCTAACAACAAAGCTTATGATGAATGTGATGACTTCAATTTTTTAATCGTCAGCTTCCCTTACTTTTGTACCAATAGACTCTTATCACTTGCATATGGGATTAATGTTTCATATAATTAGTTTATTCGATACCTACGAACATTATTTAAAACTATTTAAAACAAAGCAAATCACTGACGAAGAAGTTGCTATCAAAAGTATTGTTTAAAGTTATCATTGCGCAAGTCCTATAATTGATGCATTAACCTTGTCAAATACAATCTATCTTTAAGTCAAATGTTGACAATTTTTCGTACGAATTTAAGGCCATATCAGATTTTTCCGTTTTCCCCGATCATGACAAGAAAAGACAGCGGGTGTGACGGTTGACGGGGGATGTTAACGCTTCCATGGCACCTGATCCCACCTCTGATGTTAAGAGGTCCATGTTTGCTTCGATCTTCATTTGTATTGTTCAAATGAACTGTTTGTTATTTCCATATTTCATTGAATAAAAAAGCCATATTTGTTTAAAGGTGCATAGACACAGATTTGAAATTAATATTTTCTCAAATTTTCTGTATATTATCATGCTGAAATGCTATTACAACATAAGTCATAATATTATACAGAAAATATTAAATTCAAATCTGTGTCTATGCACCTTTAAGAATGTACTACATGAAGCTGTTTAAAGTTTTCTTTTTCAAGTTATTTGTACTAGGTGATAAATTATGAGAAATGTAGTTTGCGTAAACTACTTTCTTTATTTATAAAGTATAACATTCCGTTATCATCTGTATATGGTGTTTTGTCTCCTATCTTATTTGAACATAAGAGTATATTCTGACGACAATCGATTTATAAATCGGGAAGGCTACTGACAGATAAGTTTATTTTAAAAAGATTTCAACAAACTCGTTTGAAGTCAGCATTTAATTCTAGAAATGAATCCTAGGGCCGTTTTAATTATCTTGTTAGCATATGCAACCTATCATTGGGTCGTATTTTGACAGTCATGTCCAGTACCAATTGTTATACCCTATTTATTACAAAGAAGATGGTCGCATTTGGCGAGTGATCTGCAGGGATCATTTGTATGAAACATTTATGGTTTAAATGTCCATGATTTGGTTGGCTGAACATACATTGTAGCTGGTCAGATTTTACAAACACGTCCATAGGTTTTTTTCATATACAATGAAGCGCATTGAAGTGGTAACATTTTACGTTTGGATGAAAAGTTCTGAGTCATATTTTGAACGTCAATTATAACATAATGACACGCCCATATTTTTAGAAACGAGAAAGAAATATTCGTCGTAGTTTTAGGACACCCCATTCTTCGCGACAAGCACCATGAGTTACACTGAAATGGAGCTTTAAAAAAAATAGAAGAGGAAGTTAGAGACTCCCCGCTTCTGTAAAACACAAATTGCAACGAATATGTACATATTTTTTAACTTAACATGTCTATTGAAGTTACCACAACACATGTTTCGGTCGAACACGTGTTTACTCGGTGTTTGTTTAGATCCTCAATTTGATTGGCTATTATATTTATGGAAAACCTGTTCTACAGGTATTTGAAGAAACAACTTGACCGTTTTATCCATTTCTAAAGAAATGGGCGTGTCATAAGATGACAATAAACGTTCTAAAGATAGCTCAAAACGTTCCATTCGAACGGAAAATTTTACCACTTCAATGCGCTTCATTGTACAATGAAGCGCATTGAAGTGGTAAAATTTTCCGTTTGGATGGAACGTTTTGAGCCATCTTAAGACACGCCCATTTCTTTAGAAAGGAAAAATCGGTCAAATGATTCAATCAAATACCTGCAGAACAGGTATTCCATAAATATAATAGCCAATCAAATTGACGGTCTACATAAACAGCGAGTAAGCACGTGTTCGACTGATACATGTGTTATGCTAACTCCAATAAACATGATAAAATCATAATTATGTACAAATTCGTTGCAATGCGTCTTTTACAAAAGTGGGGACTCTGTATATAGTTTTCTCTTATTTAAAAATCTTCATTTTAGTGTAACTCATGTTGCTTGTCGCGGAAAGTGGGGTGACCTAAAACATTACGACGAATAATGCTTTTTCGTTTCTAATGAAATGGGCGTGTCTTTATGTTATAATTGACGTTCAAAACATGACTCAGAACGTTTCATCCAAATGGAAAATTTTACCACTTCAATGCGCTTCATTGTAGTTTGAAAGATTTAGTGAAATTGTAACATTTATGTTCGTTTTTCCTAGGGGGTACTATAACATACCGTGGTAATATTTCACAAAAATAAATACCTAAAATAGATATGTGTAGCCAGTGGTAAAACATCAGAACTAACAATCTGGTTCAGGTTCAATATTATATTTATTAATGTTGAAATAAGACGTCAAAAACCTGAAATATTACAATTACACACAACATATAGACGACACATAGACAGACATTTAGACAGATAATTAAAACATAATAGACTTTACTTTAGAATAGATTCTTACCGGGACACACACAGGAATTACAAATATTACTATCTGTTATTGACTATAGAGTAGAGTACACATCTAACCAATTCAACGGCTAGGCTCAGAGTGCCCGATGTTAGTGCGTGAAAGCGGGAATTTGGTGAATAGGATAAAGTCATGTGACTGTCCGTCTAGTGTCTAAAAATAACAACAACCTCATTCACACAAAGTCTTTCACACCACATTCTCACATATACGCAGCGCAAGTATAGTAATTAAAGGCATTAAATAATACATAACCCTGGTTACATACTCCCCCTCTTCGTTGAAATGGCTCCTGACATTTCCAAAGAAGTATGTACAATAATAGTAACCATGAAATATAAATAAAAACCAATTTACCTGATACAACTCACCACAATGAAATCAAGTAATTAAATTAAAACCTCATCAATGACCATCAAACTTCAAACATCAACAAGACACATAATATACAAATGTACCAATCAATGTAGGAATACCTGACCAATGAATTCCTCCATACTCCATATGACACACAAGTCATGAAACTATTTACACGTACCTCAATACACCTCATTAAAGTTTTACAACTTTTAAGAGCTAATCCCATAAACACTAGACACAAATTATTATATACAATGAGTTTAAGGATTAGGGGAATAATGAATATGGTCATTATTATAATATTTTTTTTTTTTAAATTTTTATTTTAATTTATTAAAATCCCGGGTAAACTGCATCATAAAAACATTTCGGCATAAAAGCAGTTTTCAGCATAAAAATCGGTTCTCGGCATAAAGCAATATCATAAAAAACCGTTTACATTATCCATTCCCCATACCGATCTGGGAATTTTTTCATTCTGGTCGACCGTCTCGGCAAAATCGGTAAAGGCGACTGTGATTGGTCTGAAATAAACTGACTATGTGGACCGCTCACAGAAGCTCTGGTACTACTGCTGTCTGACTCACTGGTGTAACCTGACTGTCTGGGAGAACTCACACTCTGAAAGGAAGGACTTGAATTCTGAAATGAAGAAATATTTTGATTAGTACCATCTGATACACTAGAAACTTTAGATCTTGATACACTGTGTTGATCTGATGATTCTTTGCTGAACTCATCTCTATTTCTGGGTATCCTTGATTTCACTTCAATTGTTACTTCATCATCCGAACTCTCAGAATCGGACTCCGGAAGTTCATCAGAATTCTTAGGCTTCTTGTTCCTCCTTGTCACAGGTGTCCTATAAACAACAGGTTCATCAATGTCACATGCTGGTATCTGGTTAAATGGTAGCAGCATATTTCTGTGCAGTGTCTTTGTGGCTCGTCCTGATGTACTCTTCACTCTGAAAACAGGGATCTCGGGATTGGGAATTTCTGTGATAACATAAACTTCTGAATCCCATCTGTCTGCTAGTTTATTCTTTCCCTTTAATCCTACTTTCCGCACAAGGACTCTGTCTCCAATCTCCAGCTTACAGAACCTCACTCTCTGGTCATACTTATTCTTGTTCTTGTCAGATATTCTCCT